GACTCCGTGGCATTGAGCCATGGCAGTTCAAGTGGGGTCAAACTGCATTCATTCCACCATGTAGATATACCCCAAGGTTACCATCAACACACAAAGTAGTGAATTGACACATTGACCCTTAAAGGTTAACATCTATTGGTTAAGAATACTGACATCTTGTGATGAAGGAGAATAGCTAGAACTTTAAAGGAGGGGGGTTGCTCTATATTTTGACAGTTGTCAAAACAATTTGCAGATGGAAGTGCATTTGTGGTGCAACCAGCCAATTTGATTGATCTGGACCAATGGGTTTCAGAAGAATGAAGATAGAATCACAGAATCGTAGAGTTGGAAGAGACCTCGTGGTCCATCCAGTCCAACCCCATTCTGCCAAGAAGCAGGAAGATCACATTCAAAGCACCAGGTAGATACGCTAATCTCATTCTAAACCACAAAGGATCAAGATAAATTAGGCCAAATTAGAGGGAGTAGACAAGGCGGATGCAGGGATTTCGATGGTTAAGTGGAGATTCAAACCTAAGTCTCTTATCAAACAGAGAACACTATAAAAACTCTCCAGCGATTCCCCAATAGACACACTTTCCCAGAAAGGGTGACATCCACTAACCAACTTCAAATTGTTTAACGAGATTACATCCTTTTTTCCCTCCTAAATTTTAGCATCTTAGAGGAAAAGGGCCGAGCTTTAGCACAGCGGGTTAACCACTGCTGCACAAAATCTTGCCAATTGAAAAGTTGGCAGTTCAGTCCCAAGTCAGGGTGAGCTCCCGGCCATCATCCCAGCTTCTGCCCACCTAGCAGATCGAAAACAGCAATGTGAGTAGATAAATAGGTTCTGCTTTAAAGCAGGGAGGTAATAAAAAACACCCATAAGGGCATGCCGACGATAAGGTCATCTACGGAAATCAAAGTTCCTTGGCATGGAAGATGAAGCAACAGCACCCCCCTATGGCCAGGGTCGAGCACAGCCTCCAGATGCCGGAGATGGGAAAAGATGGGAAAGCCTCTACCTCTGTTTTTCAATAACTTTCATAGAATTATAGAATCTAAACTCCACGAATGATGGAATTGAACCGAACTTGACACACAGAACTCCCATGACCAACAGAAAATGTTGGAAGGGTTTGGTGGGCATTGACCTTGAGTTTGGGAGTTGTAATTTACCTACATCCAGAGAGCACTCTGGACTCAGACAGTGATAAACTTGGCATGAATACTCAATATTCCCAAATATTTTACAACTCCAAAATTCAAGGTCAATACCCACCAAACCCTTCCAATATTTTCTGTTGGTCATGCGAGTTCTGCRTGCCAAGTTTGGTTCAATTCCATCATTGGTGGAATTCAGAATGCTCTTTGACTGWAGGTGAACTATTAATCCTGGCAACTACAACTCCCAAATGACAAAATCAATCCCCCTCCACCCCATCRATATTTAACTGATTTACGAGGCCATAGAAATCTCCAGCAAGCATGCAAAGAATGAGGAAGTACTTCATCAGTGTCACAAATGGTCGGTGAAGGGACAGCTCCCCTGGAGGCCAGAATACCCTCAAGAACAGCTGGAATATTAAATTGCCTCTGCGTCTRTTTATATATGTTGTGTGTCTATGGCAGTGACACACAACACCTCTGGGTGTAGGTGAACKACAACTCCAAAACTCAAAGTAAATGYCCACCAAACCCTTCCAATGTTTTCTGTTGGTGATGGGAGTTCTGTGTGCCAAATTTGGTTCAATTCCATCATTGGTGGAGTTCARAATGCTCTTTGATTGTAGGTTAACTATAAATCCTAGCAACTACAACTCCCAAATGACAAGGTCTATTTTCCCCAAACTCCAACATATTGGGCATATTGAGTATTTGTGCCAAGTTTGATCCAGATCCATCATTGTTTGAGTCCACAGTGCTCTTTGGATGTAGGTGAACTACAACTCCAAAACTCAAGGTCAATGCCCACCAAACCCTTCCAGTATTTCCTCTTGGTCATGACAGTTCTGTGTGCCAAGTTTGATTCAATTCCATCGTTGGTGGAACTCAGAATGCTCTTTGATTGTAGGTGAACTATAAATCCCATCAACTACAACTCCCAAATGACAAAATCAATCCCCCTCCACCCCATCAATATTCAAATTTGGGGTATTTGTGCCAAATTTGGCCCAGTGAATGAAAATACATCCTGCATATCAGATATTTACATTTCAATTGATAACAATAGCAAAATGACAGTTATGAAGTGGCAAGAAAAATAATGTTATGTTTGGGGGTCACCACAACATGAGGAACTATATTAAGGGGTTGCGGCATTACGAAGGTGGAGAAACACTGGTCTAGATTCGCGCTTAATATATTTTCCAATGTTTCCGTTCATTTAGAAACAGACAGCAAAATCATCCTCTATCACCTTCATTATCAGTAAAAAGCATTGTTAATTCCAATCATAAGAATGACAACCACATTTTTCTGTCTACCCTTTCAAACAATAATTAGATTTTTGGCATTATATAGATTTTAGCAGTTCTGTCTTCCAGCAAAAGAGAGGGGAAAGGTTTAAGAAGACATCCACCTTGTTGGAACATTAAAAGGGCCTCAAATCAAGCTCGACGCTGGGAGGGGAAAAGTCAAATAAAAGCACCTGTCAGCATGGGTTGGAGAAGCAACCGCTACATCCTCCATCGTTGCCGAGCGCCAACTGTGCCAACAGACGGTTCCCTTGGATTCGGAACAGAAAGCGCTGTCTGTGGCTTTCGGGAACAGAAGTGACACAATCCCAACAGCAAGGGAAAGTTTCTCCCAGATTATAATCACTCTCTGCTGCAAAAGGACTTGGCGCTTGAAGGTGAAGAGACAAAGTGAATTTGCTGTTTTTCTTTGTCTTTCCTCGCAGTGCTCTAAAGGTGTGGGCAAAACTCAGTGCCAAGCTTCACGGATGCAGCATCCCAATCCCACTTCAAAGCGACAGTATTCCTTGCCATCTTCGACTACTCTCTGGTTCAATTCTTTGCCACTTTTCTCCCAAACTGAGGTGCATTTACATCAGTGTTCCTCAATCTGGGGGTCAGGACCCCTGGGGGGGTTATGAGGGGGTATCAGAGGGGGTCACCAAAGACCTCCAGTATTTTCTTCTAGTCATGGGGGTGCTGTGTGAAAAATCTGGCCCAATTCTATCATTGCTGGGGTTCAGAATGCACTTTGATTGAACTATAAATCCCAGCAACTACAACTCCCAAATGTCAAGTTATATTTCCCCCAAACTCCACCACTGTTCATGCTTGGGCATATTGAGTATTCGTGCCAAGTTTAGTCCAGATCCATCATTGTTGGAGTCCACAGTGCTCCCTGGATGGAGGTGAACTACAACTCCAAAACTCAAGGTCAATGCCCACCAAACGCTTCTGGTATTTTCTGCTGGTCATGGGGGTTCTGTGTGGGAAACTTGGCCCAATTCTATCATTGGTGGGATTCAGCTAATCACCTCCCAACATAGGATTCCCCCAGGCAGCAATCAGCCAGACCTTAAACTGCTAGGCCATTAAATGCTAATTAAGGTGGCCAATTGAAACATTCAAACCTACCTACAACAGATAAGAGTTCTTTCTCCCACCCTGGGCATTCCCCATTTTCCTAGTTTCAAACAGACCTCGCAATCTCCGAGGATGCCTGCCATACATGCAGGCAAAACGTCAGAAGGGTATGCTTCAGGAACATGGCCATACAGCCCAGAAAATTCACAAAAATATAGTATTATTTATTTGCTCTTTGATTGTAGGTAAACTATAACTCCCAGCAACTACGCCTCCCAAATGTCAAGGTCTATTTTCTCCAAACTCCAGCACTGTTCATAGTTGGGCATATTGAGTATCCATGCCAAGTTGGTCTAGATCCATCATTGTTTGAGTCCACAGTGGTCTCTGGATAGAGGTGAACTACAACTCCCAAACTCAAGGTCAATGCCCACCAAACCCTTCCAATATTTTCTGTTGACAATGGGAATTCTGTGTGCCATGTTTGGTTCTATTCCATCATTGGTGGAGTTCAGAATGCTCTTTGATTGTAGGTGAACTATAAATCCCAGCAACTACAACTCCTAAATGACAAAATCAACCCCCCTACCCAACCCCACCAGTATTCAAATTTGGGCGTATTGGGTATTTATGCCAAATTTGGTCCAGTGAATGAAAATAGATATTACATATCAGATATTTACATGACAATTCATAATAGTAGCAAAATTAGAGTTATGAAGTAGAAACGAAAATAATTTTATAGTTAGGGGTCATGCAACGCAACATGAGGCATTAAGAAGGTTGAGAAACACTGGTCTAGATGCACTTTAGGGCTCCCTTGGTGGCAAAGCAGGTTAAACCGCTGAGCTGCTGAACTTGTGGACCAAAACGCATTTTGAATCCATGGAGTGGGGTGAGCTCCTGGTGTTAGCTCCAGCTTCTGCCAACCTAGCAGTTCAATATATACTTTCTGTATATATTTCAGATTTCAATTTTAATGTCAAAAATACGTAGTATGTTTTTATATAAGATTTCTGCTACATTAAAATAGTAAAGACAAATATCACTTAAGCAAAATAAATATTACATATTAAATGACCAGAAAAATAAAAAAAGGTGTAAACGCTAAACTAATCTGGGAATTTGCTAATGCAACACATCAATAGGAACTTTGGTTGGAAGGTAAGGGTGCTCCACGCAGTCATGCCAGCTACATGACCTTGGAGGTGTCTACGGACAAGGCTGGCTCTTCAGCTTAGAAATGGAGATGAGCACCGCCCATTAAATTCGGACACGACTAGACTTAATATCAGGGAAAGGTTATCTTTACTTTGGAGAGCAGCACAACCAAAACACACAAACGGACACAATACAGCATTGGCAATACACCCCAAATTGCCACGGCTTCCTCACCCCATCCATGAAGGAGATGGAACGAAAGTACAAGTACAGAGATTGAAAGAGATGGATGAAATATCAAAGCCGGAGCGTTACCTTTTCTCTTTATTTTGCTTTCGGTGCTTGTGCAACAAGCCAATGAGCACCACCGCTGCTCGGATCCCCGCTCGCTTGGAGTGCATCCTACCGGGCGGAGGTTGGGACATCCCAAAGGCGACACTTCGGCAACCCTGCCAGCGTTTGGCAAGAGAGCGTCTTTCTGCAAAAGTGCAGCCCTGCCTCGCTTATCACAGGCTCATTCTTCCCCTCCCTCTTCCCTTCTCTCTTCTGCCTGGTGGTTAGGCCAGTCGCATAGGTAAGCCTGTCCCCGAATCAGGTGACTGTTCCCACTTGGATGACCTTCAAGTCACCTGGAGCTTCCCTGCCCTTTTCCTCTCCGGAGTCTTGTTCTCAGCCAGGGTTTGCTCAGCTGCCGATAAGGACTGGCATCCCCCCCCGAGTCAATTAAATCACTTTCGGATGTGCCAGCCACTGCACATGCGGACAATCTGTCACCGGAGGCAGTGCATAGCCATCAGCCTCTTTCGCACACTATAGAAGACGAGCCAGAGATGAAGAGACGCCGGTCGGTGTGCCTTTTTGTCGTTTGGCAAAGCCACGCTCCATCAAGGCAGGTGGATGGAGAGGTTGCCTTGAAAGCAGGTCATCCTGGATACGTTTCCAAGCCAGAGCGATGGAGTCCCTGAAGTTCTGCGGCTCAATCCTTGGAGTCTTGCAGTTTGGTCCCCAGAGTCCTTTCACGGCAAGTTGTCACTTTTTGGCTCGATGGAAGATCACCTTCAAAATTCATGGGTAAACAGGTTGACGCTTCAGTGATGTGACATGCCGTGAGCCGAAAAGCCCAAAGCTTCCCGTAAGGTGGGTACGATAGGTTGGTCATAGGTCATAACCTTTTTGTGCATTCTTCACTCAACGTTTTTGTTTTCGAGGGAGACGGGTTCCTCGGCAGATTGCTCTCAGCCGAGCGATTGTCAGCCTCAGCAGCTGCACCAAAGAGCTTTTTATAAAACACACGCCGCTGTTTCCTCGCTCCTTGCGGGATGTCATTTGCTGATTGCTCTTTGGGATTAGAAGCGCTCTAAGAGTATTAAAATGAAAAGGGGCTTGGTTGGCGACTGTCTGCCTGGCAGGACTATGTACACATGTGGGACGTTGGAGGAAAATATCCTGAAGAGTTCAGGACCAGATCAGGCCCAGGTTGGGTAGGAAGCGGGAAGCTTTGTGCCAAAACAATAAAACATTGAAGAAAGTAAGCACTCTTTTGAACCCGTCTGCATTTGTTGATCTTCCACTTGACGTTCTTCCAGAGTCAAGTGAAAGCCATGTATTGTCAGAGGCTTTCATGGCCAGAATCACTGGGTTGTTGTATGGCCATGTTCTAGAAACATTCTCTCCTGATGTTTCGCCTGCATCTGTGGCAAGCATCCTCAGAGGTTGTGAGGTTTTTGTTTTTTTTTCCATGTCAGGAGCAACTTGAGAAACTTAAGAATTGGCTGTCTGCAAGGATGTTGCCCAGGGGATGTCCGGATGTTTTGATGTTTTACCTTCCTTGTTAGAGGCTTCTCTCGTGTCCCCACATGGGGAGCTGGAGCTGGCAGAGGGAGCTCTTCCACGCTCTCCCCGGATTCGAACCTGCGACTTGTCAGTCTTCAGTCCTGCCAGCACAAGGGTTTAACCCACTGCGCCACCGGGGGCTCTGTGAGGTTTGTTGGAAACTAAAAAAAATGGGTTTATATATATGTGGTTTATATATCTATATATTAGGAACCCCCGGTGGTGCAGTGGGTTAAAGCACTGAGCTGCTGAGCTTGTTGACTGAAAGGTCGCAGGTTCGAATCCAGAGAGCGGCGTGAGCTTCCGCTGTCAGCTCCAGCTTCTGCCAACCTAACAGTTCAAAAACATGCAAATGTGAGTAGATCAATAGGTACCACTCTGCCGGGAAGGTAACGGCGCTCCATGTAGTCATGCCGGCCACATGACCTTGGAGATGTCTATGGAAAATGCCAGCTCTTCGGCTTAGAAATGGAGATGAGCACCAACCCCCAGAGTTGGATATGATTGGGGAAAACCTTTACCTTTACCTTAATATCTGTGGAAGGTGGCCAATTCACACCTACCTCCAACAGACAAGAGTTCTTTCTCCCACCCTGGACATTATTCCACAGATATATAAACCCCATTTTCCTAGTTTCCAACAGACCTCACAACCTCTGAGGATGCCTGTCATAGATGCAGGTGAAACGTCAGGAAAGAATGCTTCTGGAACATGGCCATACAGTCCAAAAAACCTACAACAACCCAACTGAAAGACTTTTGGTGATCATTTCCTAGGGAGTATGAACACTTTCGAATGAATGTCACTCGACATCACTTGAACTGCCCAAGAATACTGGTACCCTCACTGAACTACAGCTCCCAGCATTCCATAGCATCAAGCCAGTGCGGTTAAAGTAGTGTCAAACTGTATTCGTTCCACTGTGTAGATGCACTCCGAATTTCCAAAATACTAAGCATGAGTCCCAACCTGGCATTTCTGAATGGAAAGCTTGCAACCGGCCCAGCCCACTATGATTAATTCTCTGCGTTCATATATTGTGATTTTATATTGTATGATGTGTTTATTTATAATGTTTCTTGCATTTTATTTTATTTTTATATTTTATTGTTGTATTCTCATGTTGTACATTTGCATTGTTGTACTGCTGGGCCTGGCCTCGTGTAAGCCACCCCGAATCCCCTTGGAGAGATGGTGGCGGGATATAAATAAAGTTATTATTATTATTATTATTATTATTATTATTATTATTGTATGTTATCATTATAGAATCATAAAATCATAGAGTTGGAAGAGACCTCATGGGCCATCCAGTCCAACCCCCTGCCAAGGAGCACAAAAATTGCGTTCAAAGCATCCCCAATAGATGGCCATCCAGCCTGTGTTTAAAAGCTTCCAAAGAAGGAGCCTCCACCACACTCCGAGGCAGAGAGTTCCACTGCTGAACAGCTCTCACAGTCAGGTTTATGTTATGTTATGTTATGCTATGACCCATGTGACAAATATCAGGCAAAAAGGGAGGGTCAGTTGATAGCTGGGAAACAGGAAGATGCATTTTAACTCTTTTGAGTACAATAGAGTCTCACTTATCCAACCTTCACTCATCCAGCGTTCTGTGTTATCCAATGCAGTCTGCCTTCCACTAGACTAGACTTAATATCAAGGGAAACCTTTCCCTTTACCCTTACCTAATTTTACCACAAAAAACTAGGAAAACGCATAGACTTGAGTATAAACTAAGGGAAATGCAGCAGCTACTGGTCAATTACAAAATAAAAATAGATATCAATAAAATTACATTTTTGGAGGCATCGGTAGGTTAAATGTTTCTGAATATTTACATAAAACTAATTTTTATGTAAAATTACATAAACTGCCCAACACTGATTAAACCATTATTGTAACCTTCTTCAATGTAAATGTGCTTAAGTATCCTTCCAATAATAATAAAGAGAGTAAAACAATAAATGTAATAAAAATAATAATATAGTAAAATAATGGAAATGCAATAATGACAGTAATAATAGAGTAAAATAATAAATGTAATAATAGCAATAATAAACTAAAATAATATTAATAGAGTAAAATAAATGTAATAATTAAAATAGAGTTATTATTATTATTATTATTATTATTATTATAGAGTAAAATAATGGAAATGTAATAACAACAGTACTAATAAAGTAATAAATTTAATAATAATAACAATAAATAGATTAAAATAATAAATGCAATAATAAAAAGAGTTAAGTAAAAATGTAATAACAATAAAAATAGAGTAAAATAATGGAAATTTAATAATAGTAGTAGTAGTAGTAGTAGTATATAGAGTAAAATAATAAATGTAATCAAAATAATAATAATAACCCAGTAAAATAATAAATAACTTTGACTTGAGCATAAGACGAGGGGGCTTTTTTAGCCTAAAAAAGGGCTGAAAAATCAGCCTATACTTGCGTATATACACTAACTTTTTTATTCTGGACTGATCTAGATTGCAGGTGGTTGTATAATATACATTTTAACATTGGGGGCGGGGGGGGGGGTCTTTGCAATTCTGCCATGGCTCCATGCTACGGAAACCTAAGAGTTGTAGTGTCACAAGATTTTGAGCCTTCTCGGTCAAAAAGTGCTGATTCCCCACCAAACTACAACTCCCAGGATTCCATAGCATTGAGCAATTGCAAAGGGATATCAAACTGCATTCATTCTAAGTGTAGATGCCCCTTGAGGCTGAAGAATCAATCTTACAATGTGGGTTCATCCCAGCAAATCGAATGAAAATTGGTAAACAAAATGGTTTAGATCAGTGTTTCCCAACCTTCCGAATGCTGTGACCCCTTAATACAGTTCCTCGCATTGTGGTGACCCCCAACCATAACATTATTTTTGTCGCTACTTCATAACTAATTTTGCTACTGTTATGAATCGTCATGTAAATATCTGATATGCAGGATGGATTTTCATTCACTGGACCACATTTGGCACAAATACCCGATACGCCCAAATTTGAATACTGGTGGAGCTGGGGTTGATTTTGTCATTTGGGAGTTGTAGTTGCTGGGATTTATAGTTAACCTACAATCAAAGAGCATTCTGAACTCCACCAATGATGGAATTGAACCAAACTTGGCACATGGAACTCTCACGACCAAGAGAAAATACTGGAAGGGTTTGGTGAGCATTGACCTTGAGTTTTGGAGTAGTAGTTCATGTACATCCAGAGATGTTGTGTGTCAATGCCCTAGACACACAACATATATAGACAGACATGTATAGACACAGAGACAATTTAACATTCCAGCTTTTTCATGAGGGTATTCTAGTCACCAGGGGAGCTGTTGCTTCACCGACCATTTGTGACACTGATGAAGTACTTCCTCATTCTTTGCATACTTGCTGGAGATTTTTATGGCCTCATAAATCAGTTAAATTTGCCGGTTTGATTTTTTCATTCATTTCAATGGGATTGTCCTAATATTATGACCCTGAAAGTGCAACTCCAGAACATTCCCATAATATAGAACCAGTACCAAAAATCCTATATATGTCTAGACTTATACATGAGTATGTAGAGTAACGGGGATAATTGGGAGTAAAAAATAAACTGGGTTAAGTGAGTGGGGTATCCGGAAAGACCCAATGATCTTTGGCAGAATAAGAAGTTGCCAATTCTCCTCCTACAGAATGGGAAACCTTCTCGGATAACATCCTGTGTTCTTTCCCTTGCATCTTGGCTGGTTTTAATTGTTTTTCCCCCCTGAATGTTGGGTTTCAAAGGGTTCCTTGAAAGTCCTTGGCATCGACGCATTTCCACTTCCGAGCCGAGTTGCCATGGAAATCAAACATATTGGTTTCTTCGTGCCATCTTCCTCTCCTCCCTCTCGTCGCCCGGCCCATCTGCCTACCTAGTCATGCTGGGCACGGCAGAAGAAGCCGTGTCAATAAATAGATTCAAACAAATTCTCTGAAAAAGCAAGGGTCAGCTCCCCACAACTGTTGTCTTTTAAATAGGGAAAAGCCCCCGAGATTAAGCCGTGGAGGGCCATCTGGACAGCGACGGCTTATAAAGCAAAGATATTGGGAGCCAGAATTACAGATGTTGAAATAAATAGCAATCCTCAGATCTTGCTTTGTTGCTTCTGCCAAGAATGCAAATTTTTGCCTAATGGGCAAAGATGTTGCATCACTAGAAACTATCTATTATATTATATTATCTGGCTTTGAATGTATATAGTCCTCCATAAGTGTTATTATTGCCCCCGGTGGTGCAGTGGGTTAAAGCGCTGAGATGCTGAACTTGCAGACCGAAAGGTTGCAGGTTCGAATTCGGGGAGCAGCATGAGCTCCCGCTGTTAGCCCCAGCTTCTGCCAGCCTAGCAGTTCAAAAACAAGCAAATGTGAGTAGATTAATACCGCTCTGGCGGGAAGGTAACAGCGCCCCATACAGTCATGCTGGCCACATGACCTTGGGGGTGTCTATGGATAACGCCGGCTCTTGGGCTTAGAAATGGAAATGAGCACCA